GGGGAAAGTCCTGAGTTGTTATTATTATTATTATTATTATTATTATTATTATTATTATTATTAAACTTTATTTGTACCCTGCTAGCATCTCCCGAAGGACTCGATGTGGCTTACAAAGGCCAAGGCCTCAACACAACAGCAGTAAACAACAACAACAATACAATACAAAGCAAATTAAAAACATAAGCAATAACAAAAACATTACACCATTACACAATAAAAACCAGGGCCGGGACAGTGATGGGTACAGGTTAAAAAAGTGCTGGGTCTGAGAGGTGGTGTGTTGGGTTTCTGGGCAAGTGCAGAGTACAGAGAGTCTTAAACTTTAATAAAGTGCTTCTGGGACGTAGTGCTGGAGGTTATCCTATTCTGGGAAGGCACATCGGTCTTCAAGTTCTTCCTAAAGACTGCCAACGTGGGTGCTAGTCTAATGTCTTTGGGGAGGGAGTTCCAAAGTTGGGGGGCAACCACAGAGAAGGCCCTGTCCCTCGTCCCCACCAAACGCACCTGCGATGCAGGTGGGATCGCGAGCAGGGCCTCTCCGGATGACGAAGCACGTGGGTTCATAAACGGAGATGCGGTCACGCAGGTAGGCAGATCCCAAACTGTTCAGGGCTTTGTAGGTAAGCACCTGCACCTTGAATTGGGTTCGGAAGTAAACGGCAGCCAGTGGAGCTCCTTGAAACAGGAGAGTTGACCTCTCTCTGTAAGGAGCCCAGTTAACATCCTGGCCGCCGCCCGTTGGACCAGTTGGAATTTCCGAGCTGTTTTCAAGGGCAGCCCCACGTAGAGCGCATTACAGTAATCCAATCTAGAGGTGACCAAGGCATGGACCACCCCGGCCAAATCAACCTTTGCAAGGTACGGTCGCAGCTGGCGCACAAGTCTCAGTTGTGCAAAAGCCCTCCTGGACACCGCCGACGCCTGAGCCTCAAGCGTAAGTGATGAATCCAAGAGGACTCCCAAACTGCAGACCTGTGGCTTCAGGGGGAGTGTAACCCCGTCCAGCACAGGTTGCCACCCTATACCCCGACCCGGTTTACAATAACCAGGAGGACCTCTGTCTTGTAAGGATTGATCTTCAGCTTGTTCCTCCTCATCCAGACAGCCACAGTGGCCAGGTACTCATCACTCAAGGGGCCTCCTTGGAGTTAGGTGGAAAAGAGTAGTAGAGTTGCGTGTCATCTGCGAGAGGTGGCACCCAACTCCAAAACTCCGGATGACCTCTCCCAGCGGTTTCATGTAGATGTTAAAGAGCATGGGAGACAGAATGGAGCCTTGCAGGACCCCACAAGTCAAAGGCCAGGGGTCCAAGTAGACGTCTCCCAGCTTCACCATCTGGGATCCACCCTCCAGGAAAGACCGAAGCCAGGACAGAACCGTGCCCCCGAGACCCATCCCAGAGAGATGACCCAGAAGGATACCATGATTGAGTTTTTGAGTTTGACAATGCACAGGATTCTCTTGCCTCCTTCGCTTGTTCATGTGACGTTCTTTGAGAGAGAAGCGCATCGGTGGGAAAAGAGGGAAGGGTTGTGCCTTGAGGAAAGATGCTTGCATGTATTATGAAGCCAGGAGGTGTGTATTTTTTTCTTTCCACTGGAGGTGCTAGATAGACCTCCCGGCACACACCAACAGCCACACCTTATTAGTCTGCATCTGCAGCTTTCTAAACCTGAAGCGGCTGAAGGGAAACAGGAAAGGGTCTGAGGCTGACCGGGTCTTTGGAATGGTGGGAGTTGAAGTCCAAAACACCTAGAAGGCCCACGTTTGCCCATAACTGATCTAACTAGTGACACCGGGATTGTGGCGCAGCTGGCTGAGTGCCAGCTGCATTAAGATCACTCTGACCAAAAGGTCATGAGTTCGAAGCCAGCCCGGGTTGGAGTGGGTTTCCAACCAATTGTGTGTAGCCTGTTGTCGACCTTTGCAACCCGAAAGACAGTTGCATCTGTCAAGTAGGAAAATTAGGTACCACCTTAAAGTGTGGGGAGGCTAAATTAACTGATTTATGAGGCCATAAAGAAGACTCCAGCAAAGCATTCCAGCGGGGGAAGCATGCGGGGAATGCGGAAGTGTTTCATCAGCGTCACACATGGTCATCAGCATGCGGGGAATGCGGAAGTGCTTCATCAGCATGCGGGGAATGCGGAAGTGCTTCATCAGCATGCGGGGAATGCGGAAGTGCTTCATCAGCATGCGGGGAATGCGGAAGTGCTTCATCAGCATGCGGGGAATGCGGAAGTGCTTCATCAGCATGCGGGGATTGCGGAAGTGCTTCATCAGCATGCGGGGATTGCGGAAGTGCTTCATCAGCATGCGGGGAATGCGGAAGTGCTTCATCAGCATGCGGGGAATGCGGAAGTGCTTCATCAGCATGCGGGGATTGCGGAAGTGCTTCATCAGCATGCGGGGAATGCGGAAGTGCTTCATCAGCATGCGGGGATTGCGGAAGTGCTTCATCAGCATGCGGGGATTGCGGAAGTGCTTCATCAGCATGCGGGGAATGCGGAAGTGCTTCATCAGCATGCGGGGATTGCGGAAGTGCTTCATCAGCATGCGGGGATTGCGGAAGTGCTTCATCAGCATGCGGGGAATGCGGAAGTGCTTCATCAGCATGCGGGGATTGCGGAAGTGCTTCATCAGCATGCGGGGATTGCGGAAGTGCTTCATCAGCATGCGGGGAATGCGGAAGTGCTTCATCAGCATGCGGGGAATGCGGAAGTGCTTCATCAGCATGCGGGGATTGCGGAAGTGCTTCATCAGCATGCGGGGAATGCGGAAGTGCTTCATCAGCATGCGGGGATTGCGGAAGTGCTTCATCAGCATGCGGGGATTGCGGAAGTGCTTCATCAGCATGCGGGGAATGCGGAAGTGCTTCATCAGCGTCGCAGATGGACGATTAAAGCGACAGCTCCCCTGGCGGCCAGAAAAACTTAAATAGCCTCTGTGTATGTCTGTATATGTTTGTATGTCAAAAATTGGCATTGAATGTTTGCCATATATGTGTACACTGTAATCCACCCTGAGTCCCCTGCGGGGTGAGGAGAAGGGCAGAATATAAATACTGTAAATAAATAAATAAAAAATAAAATAAATATTTGCAGCAACAAGGTTGGGTGGATTGGACAGCAAGTGTTGTAGTTCAGCGTGATGGTAACGTTGCTACTACTGGTAGAAGGGAGAAGAGGGCTGCACAGGTGTTGGAAGAGGAGCAGCAGCGAAAGCGGATTAGGGAGATAATCATGGCTCCGAGTGATTCTGAAACCTTTGAGGGCTTCTCTGACTGTGAAATGGGGGATGGGGAGGAAAGCAGGGGAGTCAAGCGGGCTACTTGCGAACAAGAGTCCGACGAGGAGATTCAAAGGAAGCGTATCCGTGATATACTTAGTGCTCCTACAGAGGACAAGGACTTCATGGGGTCTGAAGGTCCCCCATGACCTTCTGGCAAGGAAACTAGTCCAATGTGGGTGAGGCAAAACTACGGTGAGGTGGATCTGGAATTGGTTAAATGGACGAACCCAGAGGGTGATTCTCCCAAAGGCTTCCTCTTCATCCTGGAACGAGTGGAGTGCCGCAGGGTTCCGTCCTGGGCCCGGTCCTGTTCAGGATCTCCATTCATGACTTAGATGAAGGGTCAGAAGGCAGGATCATCAAGTTTGCAGACGACACCAAATGGGGAGGGAGAGCCAAGACTCCAGAGGACAGGAGCAGGATTCAAAGGGATCTTGACAGATTAGAGAGATGAATGGCCAAGACTAACACAATGAAGTTCAACAGTGACAAATGCAAGAGACTCCACTTAGGCAGGAAAAACGAAATGCAAAGAGACAGAATGGGGGACGATGAGGCCTGGCTCGAGAGCAGTACGTGTGAAAAAGATCTTGGAGTCCTCGTGGGGAGGAAGGTGAACATGAGCCAGGAATGTGATGTGGCGACAAAAAAGCCAATGGGATTTTGGCCTGCATCAAGAGGAGCCTAGTGTCTAGATCTAGGGAAGTCATGCTCCCCATGCTCTATTCCGCCTTGGTTAGACCACACCTGGAATATTGTGTCCAATTCTGGGCACCACAATTCAAGAGAGATATTGACTTAAGCTGGAATGTGTCCAGAGGAGGGCGACTAAAATGATCAAGGGTCTGGAGACAAGCCCTATGAGGAGCGGCTTAAGGAGCTGGGCATGTTTAGCCTGAAGAAGAGAAGGCTGAGAGGAGATATGATAGCCATGTATAAATATGTGAGAGGAAGCCACAGGGAGGAGGAGGGAGCACGCTTGTTTTCTGCTTCCCTGGAGACTAGGACGCAATGGAACAATGGCTTCAAACTACAAGAGAGGAGATTCCATCTGAACATGAGGAAGAACTTCCTGACTGTGAGAGCCGTTCAGCAGTGGAACTCTCTGCCCCGGAGTGTGGTGGAGGCTCCTTCTTTGGAAGTTTTTAAGCAGAGGCTGGATGGCCATTTGTCAGGGGTGATTTGAATGCAATATTCCTGCTTCTTGGCAGAATGGGGTTGGACTGGATGGCCCATGAGGTCTCTTCCAACTCTTTGATTCTATGAGTTTGAAGCCAACCTGGCTCGGAGTGAGCTCCCGACCAAAATTGTGTAGCTTGTTGTCGACCTTTGCAGCCCGAAAGACAGTTGCATCTGTCAAGTTGGAAAATTAGGTATCACCTTGTGGCGAAGCTAATTTAACTAATTTACGAGGCCATAAAAATCTCCAGCAAGCATGCAAAGAATGAGGAAGTACTTCATCAGTGTCACAAATGGACGGTGAAGCAACAGAAGCTGGAATGTTAAATAGCCTCTGAGTGTCTGTCTATGGCATTGAATGTTTGCCATTATATGTACATTGTAATTTGCCCTGAGTTTCCTGCGGGGTGAGAAGGGAGGAATATAAATAAATATTTGCAGCGACCAGGTTGGGTGGATTGGACAGCAAGCGTTACTTTTTATGCTAACCTCGTTCAAAGCAGGAAATTTCGAATATTGCCAAGAAGTTTTAAAAATGTAATACTGTTTATTTTTGCTTCAAAAACATTTCAGCATTCTAAACATACAAAAAACCAACATAACATTTTTTGCAAATTTTCGTTTTCTCTCTTTTTTTTTTTAAGTACAGAGTTGTTTTTGAACTTTCAGGTTTTGTTTTTTTTTGTTTTATTTTTTTTTTCCTCTGCGCCGCTCGGAGCTGACCATGAAGAGACCTACGGCTTTCCGTTTAAAAACTACCCCCACTTAACCAAAAAAAATTAAATCAAAATAAAAGGGAAATAAAGAAGGAAAAAAGAAGATTCCATACAATTTTTCTCATGCCAGCTGAACTTCCCCCTCCCCTTCCACAACTAAGAATGGCCGCAGAATGCTAATTTCACTATATACAGAAAGACAACTTTAAGCTAAATGGACGCCCACTGTAGTGTAAATAGATCTACTTTCGCGGTGCGGTCCCCGAGAAGGCCGTGCCCCCGCTCGTCTCCGGCTGCGCGCCTTCCCGCCGAGGAGTCGGTCTCCGCTCGGGGCACGCACCGCGAGAATCTGTCTAGTTTTTACAAACTATAGATATGTACAGTTTATAACCCAGGATTTTCTAGCCAATAACCATATAGTTAAACACCACCTTACAAATTAAAAAATAAGATGCTTGAAACATTTTTAAATGCTTTGTTACACCAACAGGAAAGTGCACAGAGTCGAGGAGAACACTAGATAGAGCGTCTGGTTTCCACTTCTTTCGCTTTTTTTTTCTTTCTTTCTTTCTTTCTCTCGTTTTAAAAATGTTTGGAAATATGTACAACTTTGTTACAGTTTCGAGGAGCCTCAAAAGACACCCGCCCGTGGCCACTTAACGTCAAACCAGTTTACCAATGGTTTCTTCTCATTTTACTTTATTTATTTTTCTTTCCCATCCGTTTCCAGTACACGCTTTTCTGTTATTATTATTATTATTATGATTACTACTATTATTATATTTTATTGTTTCGTGTTTCAAAACCAGCGACGAGTGTTGTGATCGGAATCCGAATTGTTATCATCCTTAAATCATTAAACCTAATAAAAAGGGCAAATAAGACGCCGTCTCAAACGAGAGGCGCAAGGTTACTTTTCCGAATGTGTTTCCCCCTACTCTATGGTATTCACATGGAGACAAGTATGGTACAGTTTCTCATTCATCGTCCTCCTCCTCCTCGTCCTCCTCCTCGTCGTCTTCCTCGTCGTCCTCCTCTTCCTCCACCTTTTTCCGGGTCGCGGCCGCCGCTTTGGCCGCCGCGCTCTTGGCGCCATCAAACTTGCCTTTAGACTTGTAATCTGCAACATCCTGCAAACGGCAAGAGGAGGGGGTTCAGTGGCTGGTTGCACACATGTAGTAAAGCAGGTTGCACACATGTAGTAAAGCACACATGTAGTAAAGCACATGTAGTAAAGCAGGTTGCACACATGTAGTAAAGCACACATGTAGTAAAGCACATGTAGTAAAGCAGGTTGCACACATGTAGTAAAGCACACATGTAGTAAAGCACATGTAGTAAAGCAGGTTGCACACATGTAGTAAAGCACACATGTAGTAAAGCACATGTAGTAAAGCAGGTTGCACACATGTAGTAAAGCACACGTAGTAAAGCAGGTTGCACACATGTAGTAAAGCACACATGTAGTAAAGCAGGTTGCACACATGTAGTAAAGCACACGTAGTAAAACTTCCGGCCCGCCAAGGGCACTTATCCGGTCTCCGCGGAGGAGGAGTGCCCCCCCCTCCACACAGTGCACAAATGTAGTAAAGCATTGCAAGAATGTAGTAAAAGGGTGCAGAAGATTAAACCGCTGAGCTGCTGAACTTGCTGACCAAAAGGTTGGCAGTCAAATCCAGGGAGTGTGGTGAGTAAAATAGTAATATTCATTTTACTAGATTATAATTATTATATTACTATTTTTCCGTGTCAGGAAGGACTTGAGAAACTTTAAGTCACTTCTGGTGTGAGAATAATAATATTGCAATTACTATTATATTACTACTACTACTACTATTATACTATTGTTTTAGTATTATCATTATTAGTAGTATTATTACTTTATTATTAGTACATTATACTTATATTAGGGCCCCCAGGGGTGCAGAAGATTAAACCGCTGAGCTGCTGAACTTGCTGACCAAAAGGTTGGCAGTCAAATCCAGGGAGTGTGGTGAGTAAAATAGTAATATTCATTTTACTAGATTATAATTATTATATTACTATTTTTTCATGTCAGGAGGGACTTGAGAAACTTTAAGTCACTTCTGGTGTGAGAATAATAATATTGCAATTACTATTATATTACTACTACTACTACTATTATACTATTGTTTTAGTATTATCATTATTAGTATTATTATTACTTTATTATTAGTACATTATACTTATATTAGGGCCCCCTGGGGTACAGAAGATTAAACCGCTGAGCTGCTGAACTTGCTGACCAAAAGGTTGGCAGTCGAATCCAGGGAGTGTGGTGAGTAATATAGTAATATTCATTTTACTAGATTATAATTATTATATTACTATTTTTTCGTGTCAGGAAGGACTTGAGAAACTTTAAGTCACTTCTGGTGTGAGAATAATAATATTGCAATTACTATTATATTACTACTACTACTATTATACTATTGTTTTAGTATTATCATTATTAGTATTATTATTACTTTATTATTAGTATATTATACTTATATTAGGGCCCCCAGGGGTGCAGAAGATTAAACCGCTGAGCTGCTGAACTTGCTGACCAAAAGGTTGGCAGTCAAATCCAGGGAGTGTGGTGAGTAATATAGTAATATTCATTTTACTAGATTATAATTATTATATTACTATTTTTTCGTGTCAGGAAGGACTTGAGAAACTTTAAGTCACTTCTGGTGTGAGAATAATAATATTGCAATTACTATTATATTACTACTACTACTACTATTATACTAGTGTTTTAGTATTATCATTATTATTATTATTATTATTATTATTATTATTAGTAGTAGTAGTAGTATTATAATAGTAAGTCTATTATGGTGTGAGAATTATATTGCTGTTATTATTTATTTATTTATTTATTTATTTATTTGGAGTGCTTCTACCCCGCCCTTCTCAACCCCCGAGGGCACAATTCGATGCCAACAATTCACAAAATACAATACACAAATTTACCAAATAAAGTCAACAGTTATAACTAGTTAAAACAGTCAAATTAAAACAACAGCACCAATAAAATCATCTTGTGGTCAACATTCGTCAATTCATAAATCCATAATCCATCCAGCATTGTCATTGTCCTTTCCTACTCTGGTCGTTATTGTCTTTTATCCGTCTGCCAGCTTACCCAAAGGCCTGGTCCCATATCCAGGTTTTTAACTTCCTTCTGAAGGAGAGGAGGGATGTTGATGACCTAATTTCCCCGGGGAGTGCATTCCACAGGCGAGGGGCCACCACCGAGAAGGCCCTGTCCCTCGTCCCCGCCAGTCTCACTTGTGATAAAGGCGGGCCGAGAGCAGGGCCTCCCCCGAAGATCGTAAACTCCGAGGTGGGACGTAGAAGGAGATGCGTTCGGACAGGTACGCTGGGCTGGAGCCGTATAGGGTTTTGTAGGTCAAAACCAGCACTTTGAATTGTGCTCGGAACTGGATTGGCAGCCAGTGGAGCTGACATAACAGGGGGGTGGTATGCTCCCTGTATGACGCTCCGGTGAGTAATCTAGCCGCTGCCCGTTGGACTAATTCAAGTTTCCGAACAGTCTTCAAAGGCAACCCCACGTAGAGAGCGTTGTAGTAGTCTATACGGGATGTGACAAGAGCGTGGACCACCGTGGGCAGATCAGACTTCCCAAGGTACGGGTGCAGCTGGCGCACAAGTTTTAATTGTGCAAAAGCTCCCCTGACCACCGCCGAGACCTGGGGTTCCAGGCTCAGCCATGAGTCCAGGATCACTCCCAAGCTGCGAACCTGTGTCTTCAGGGGGAGTGTAACCCCGTCCAACACAGGCTGTAACCCTATGCCCTGTTCGGCCTTGCGACTGACCAGTAGGACCTCTGTCTTGTCTGGATTCAGTTTCAATTTGTTAGCTCTCATCCAGTCTGACACAGCGGCCAAGCACCGGTTCAAGGTCTGGACAGCCTCCTTGGTGACAGGTGAGAAGGAGTGACAGATCTGGACATCATCTGCGTAGAGATAACACCTCAGTCCGAAACTCCGGATGATCTCCCCCAGCGGCTTCATGTAGATGTTAAACAACATCGGGGACAGAATTGAGCCCTGTGGGACTCCACACGACAACGGCTGTGGGGCCGAACAGGTGTCACCCAGTAACACCTTCTGGGACCCTCCCTCAAAAAAGGACCGGAGCCACTGCAAGGCAGTACCACCAAGTCCCATGTCCTTGAGGCGTCCCAGAAGGATACCGTGGTCAACGATATCCTTCTTAGTACTACTACTATTACTGCATTACTATTATTGGTATTAGTATATTATATTTATATTACATGACTATATATATTTATATTACATGGTATTAGTATATTATATATCTGTGTATATACACAAATATATATACTTGAGAAACTGCAAGTCACTTCTGGTGTGAGAATAATAATATTGCTATTACTATTACATTATTATTATTATTATTACTATTATACTATTGTTTGTGGCTGATATATTACATGACTATATATATTTATATTACATGGTATTAGTATATTATATATCTGTGTATATACACAAATATATATACTTGAGAAACTGCAAGTCACTTCTGGTGTGAGAATAATAATATTGCTATTACTATTACATTATTATTATTATTATTACTATTATACTATTGTTTGTGGCTGATATATTACATGACTATATATATTTATATTACATGGTATTAGTATATTATATATCTGTGTATATACACAAATATATATACTTGAGAAACTGCAAGTCACTTCTGGTGTGAGAATAATAATATTGCTATTACTATTACATTATTATTATTATTATTACTATTATACTATTGTTTGTGGCTGATATATTACATGACTATATATATTTATATTACATGGTATTAGTATATTATATATCTGTGTATATACACAAATATATATACTTGAGAAACTGCAAGTCACTTCTGGTGTGAGAATAATAATATTGCTATTACTATTACATTATTATTATTATTACTATTATACTATTGTTTGTGGCTGATATATTACATGACTATATATATTTATATTACATGGTATTAGTATATTATATATCTGTGTATATACACAAATATATATACTTGAGAAACTGCAAGTCACTTCTGGTGTGAGAATAATAATATTGCTATTACTATTACATTATTATTATTATTATTACTATTATACTATTGTTTGTGGCTGATATATTACATGACTATATATATTTATATTACATGGTATTAGTATATTATATATCTGTGTATATACACAAATATATATACTTGAGAAACTGCAAGTCACTTCTGGTGTGAGAATAATAATATTGCTATTACTATTACATTATTATTATTATTATTACTATTATACTATTGTTTGTGGCTGAGATGTTCTGTGATGATGAGGATGATGGGATTCAGATTCCTGGCTCTTTTTCTGTGCCTCAGACCTCTGGGCCTGCGGCTCCCAAGAGAAAGGAATTTCAACAAAGGAGATAGTGAACAGGTGGGGAGGCATTCGCCTCCTTCCCACGCTGATACTGAAAGTACTGAAAGCCTTGACAGTGACCTGACCCGGCAAGCTCGTCTTGATCTCCGAGTCAGGTGGAGTTCTCGCCTGGCAGGCAGACAAGAGGCCAGCTCGGTGAAAGGTCATCGCAATGATTTCATGTAATGTTTTCATGTTAGAAAGGTATTTAGGCTTCTTGCAAACCAAGGGAAAGTGTCAGTTCAACGTAGCTTATTAGCCTGAAAGCTTCATGGAATAATCTTAGCCTGGAAAGCAGCACGCTTGGGATTTCTTGCATTGTGATTCTTGGGGCAATTGTTTCATTGCTTGTACCTGGGGCTCTGGTTTGAACTTTGCCAATAGGATTGTGCCTCTTGTTTTTACTTGAAGATCTTGGGAACTATATTCTGCATTTGACCTAAATCTTTGGAACTTTGCAATGCTTATTCTTTATTTTGACTTGGATTTTTCCTCAATAAACTATAAAACTACAGCTCTTGTGTGGTGGTGTTTGGAAGCAAGGTGAACCTTACTCTGAGTTGCAACAGTTTTAGTATTATTGTTAATATTATTACGACTATTATTGGTATTAGCATATTATATTTATATTGTATATTTATTATTCATGTT